CGCGGCGCCCCTACCCCGCTCTGCTGGCAGTCCTGCCATCCACCGCCTGCAGGCCCAGAGCCTGCGCTGCCTCCAGCCCTTCCGCACCCAGGACATACAAGGTCGCCCTTTCCAGGCGCAGGCCCAGGAAAGTCTGGACGTGCTGCTGCGACACCCCTCAGGTAGGACCCAACAAGAGCCTGGGGGGTTACCTTAGTGCTCCTTGGGAGCTGAATTCTCTCCACCCCCTGCGAATAGGCTGGTGGCTGGTGGCGAACGGGGACCAGCAGACGGCCTGGTTTCCCGCCCCCTATCTGGAGGCGGCCCCAAGCCAGGACCAGGAGGGGAGCCCGACCTTGGGGAGCAGCGGTAGGAGCTAACTCGCCCTCCCCTATGCCTATCATTCCCTCCTGTGTGGCAGTACCACACTCAAGCGACAGAGGCGGGGAGCGGTGACAGGGGCCAGAAACTGTGCTCGGTCTCGGTAGCTTCAGTGGCTGCCTGAGGGGGCCCCTCTTTGCTGAGTGGTCGCTGGAGTCAGCGATCAAAGCAGATCCTGGAGAAAGATGGGGGCCCTAGCCTCTGCGGTGATCCCAACGCCCGCCCCAGGACCCGGGTTCTGTGCCTCCCGCGCCTACGAGGGCAGCCGAGCAGATGAGCTGACCGTACCCGCAGGGGCACGCGTGTGCGTACTGGAGACCTCGGACCGCGGCTGGTGGCTCTGCAGGTGAGCATGGGCAGGGTCTACGGGAGGAGCCTCGTCTGGGTGCGCCGACCCCTAACCAAACCCGGCCCCCCCACCCACAGGTACGGCAGGCGGGCTGGTCCCCTCCCCGCAGTGCTGCTGCGGCCGGAAGGGCTGGGGGCAGTCCTGAGCAGTCCAGGGTTGTACAGCGTGAGGCACAGGGCAGGTGACACTCCCTATGCCACAACCTCACCCCCTACTGTGCCTGCCTGGACCCCTGCCGAGTGCCACCCAGAGCCACTGCTGTACCACTACCTGGTGGGCACAGGGGTGGAACCCGCACCTGGGGGACCCCCTTAGGGTGCCAGGACCGCGTGGGAGGTGGGCCTTCCACTCCCACTGCACCCTACCAAAAGTCCAGACCAAGGATGACTGCTGAGGCCTCCCAGAGCTGGGAGGCTGCGATCTCTATCCTGAGTAAAACTTCTGAATGGCAGACCCGCCTCATGGTGCTGAGGGCAAGGCTGGCTGGAGCTGGCCAGGCCAGGTGCAGGGGATGGGGCAGTGGACACCAGGCTCCAGTGCCTCTTCTAATCCATCAGGGATGTGGCAGGGACTTAGGGCGAGATGGAGCACAGGAAACACACAGGGTCGGGTGGAAAAGCACACGTGTATGTCAGAGGGCTGGGGGCGCCGCAGGGAGAGCAGGCAGCTTCGTGCAGTGCCACAGGAAATCCAGAAACGCAGCTGCCTGCAACGTCCGGCCCAGCCGCTGGAAGCGCCGCTCTGGGGGG